AAAAATTAGGTTTTCTATAATCAATTTAACAGTTTTGATATTCTAATATTATGAGTACTAATAAAAGTAGTATTTTCTTTATTTATTTTTATTTTTTACATATAAATTTGTATTAATAATAATTAAAAAAATTTTATATAAAATTATTATTGAGTATTTTAATTCAATTAAAAATAATTTTTAATTATTATTAAATTACTTCCACAAAAAATGGACGGAGGAGGGAGTATTACAGAACGATACGACGATCGACGGGATACGATCCCGATGTAGCCGAGGCGAGCATGTCATAGAGTATAAAGACACACGAAAAAATCCGGTCTGATCTCCACGTGTCAACTTTACAGAAAGCTCCAGCTGCCACGCACTTCCGTCTCCTTTCCCTCTCAATCACCAACACTATTTTCAGCCATGAAATTTCGCTTTAAAACAAGGATGTTCAGAACCTCAGAAACCCCACTTCGCCCCAATTTTCAGAGTTTCATTGAATCAAGTCTGTCTTAATCCAGGCTTAAGTTTCAACCAGGTAAATTCAAATTCTAGAAATACCCACTATCCACCATTGAATTTTCTTCATATTTTACCTCAAAAGCTGATATCTTTTTCTTTTGTGGGGTTCCTCCCAATTTTCCATCCATGATTGATTCATCTATTCTGTCTTCGTTATTGAGTTTCTGGCCTCATACGGCTATCTGTGGAGATATTTTTGATGTATTGGTCTTGTACTTGGATAAGAATGTGGTGTAGGATTGAGATCGAGTTCGAAGGAAATTGGTGGGTGAAGATTTTTTCTCAAGTTGTGCCGTTTCTAGCTGTTTCTGGGTTTCCCCTGGATAGTTTGTTTGAATTGTTACTGCTTTTGTACCATGTGTGTCATTACCTTACAGTTATCATTGAGGAAGTTTAAAGCAGATTTTTTTGTGTTCTTATGAGATTGGTTTATTGGGTTTTATTTAAATGCCTGGAAGAATTATTAGAACCAGTTGCATTAAGGTTGTTATTTGTTTGTACTTTAGTTAAAAACTTGTCTTTTTTCGTTTTTATCAGATAATAGAAGAAGGGGGTGGTGTCTCTCTCAATATCTCAGCTCTCAGGTAGAGGGGATTCTATAGATGCTGCTGTTTTTTTTAGAGTTTTAGGTGTCAAGTGGGGTGAAAATACTGGTTTTTCTCTTGTGGCAGGGATGATGGCAAAGAAAGAAAAGAAATTTTTGACCGTAGCTCCCTTTGAGTGTGCTTGGAGAAAGGATTTGAAATTCCGGGAAGCTGGAAGGGGATGTGTGGCATTTGATGCTTTTGCTTGCAATGATGTTACTGTTGTGTTTAGGGAGAACGTAGGGAGTCAGCATTATCACTATAAGAGAGATAATAGTCCTCATTATACTGTGATCATTGGAAGTCATAGGAATCGTAGATTGAAAATTGAGGTGGATGGGAAAACTGTGGTTGATGAAGCAGGTCTTGGCCTTTGTTGTTCTTTAGCATTTCAGAGTTATTGGATCAGTATCTATGATGGGTTGATTAGTATTGGTAAGGGAAGATACCCTTTTCAGAATCGTATGTGTCAGTGGCTAGATTCAAATCCAAACTGTAATGTTCGGTATGTCGGCCTTAGCAGTTGGGATAAGCATGTAGGATATAGAAATGTCAATGTGTTGCCATTAACACAGAATCATATGTTGCTATGGAAGCAAGTGGATTGTGGCGAGTATAATGGAGAGGAGGATGTAGATGAGGAATTGGAGGATGAGCAGATGGGCTACGAGAAGTGGGGACTTGAAAATTTTCTTGAGAATTGGGAGTTATCTGATATGATCTTTGTTGTGGAGGGGGAGGAAACGCGAGTCCCTGCTCATAAGATAATTTTGCAGGCATGTGGAAAATTTCCCTTAAGTTCATCTGATGATGATGTCATTCAGTTGCAGGATGTAACATATCCAATTCTTCATGCGCTTCTTCAATATGTATATACGGGCCAAACAAAGGTACTTTTCTTATTTTACTTACTCATCTATCAAGTTTAAATCCTTACCAAAAAAATAAAAAAAATTGCCAAGTTTAAATTGTTTATCATTTTCTTATTAGCATAAAATTTTTTCTACCATCTCTTCTGGCTTGTTCTTATCTTACATCATGTTTGATTTAGATTTCAGAGTCACAGTTAGGTTCCTTGTTGGCTCTGAGCACCCAATTTGAAGTGATTCCACTAGTAAAGCAATGTGTGGAAGCCATGGAACGGTTTAAACTGAATAAAAAGTTGTTTGACTCTGGGAATAATGTGGAATTATCATATTTAAATTTCCAGCCACATTCTCGAACAGTCTTCCCCTTTGGGATCCCAATAAATGTGCAGGGTCTCCAACAATTATATTTGACCAGCAAGTACAGTGACATTAGCATTAATGCTGAGGGTTATGGCTTCATTTCCTGGTCTCATAAAATTATTCTCAGCTTATACAGTGCCCCTTTTGCGAAGGTTAGCCCATTTCATATTTTCTTCTTTCTGTATTTTTACTTCACTCCTCATTCCTCAATGTAGAATAACTACTCTGACATTAATGTTTCCACATATGAGGTTATTCTTTTCGATTGCCCTTTTTATGAACTTGATGGAATATATTGACAATTTGAATACGTACTTAAGCCTTTTAGCCTATTCAAATCTAAAAAGATGCATCTTTGTTAACAAATTTATTTGTAGTCGTAACTGATGGATCTGGCTGCACTGGTTGCAGATGTTCACAAATGGAATGTGTGAGAGCAACTCCTCTGAGGTTTGTTTAAGGGATGAGTCACCAAAAGCACTCAAAGCCATGCTTGAATTCATGTATAGTGGAGAACTCTGTATAGAAGATACCATGGATTTTGGTACCTTGCTACTTCAGGTTCTATTATTGTCTGACAAATATGGAATCACTCTCCTTCATCAGGAATGCTGCAAAATGCTTTTAGAGTACCTCTCGGAGGTAGTTTAGTAACCTATATTCTAGTTCCCACAGAATAATTTTATTTGGTGATTTTGATGGACCATATTTTCTTGTCACTATTTCATTATGTTTTTTTTTTTTTGAATGAGTAGAATTTAAAGAACGGAGAAGTGACTTGCAGTTTCGGACTTCTGAAAACAAAAGAAGAGACCACTTTTATAACAATGAATAATAAAAATATTGATTCCTTTCATGTACATATTATATGCAGGCAATGGAGTTCTCCTAGTGGAAGAAGGTCAAACAACATCAGTTTTTCTATTATGAACAAGTTTAATGGACGAGGAAGCAGACAAATTTGGCAAAGTAATTGAGCTGTTCTTTTCAAGCTAACTGTTGAACTTTGTTGCAGGATTCAGTCTGTCCAATCCTCCAAGTAGTTTCATCAATTCCATCATGTAAACTCCTTGAAGAAACATGTGAGAGGCAATTTGCAATGCACTTTGACTATTACACAACTGCAAGCTGTGGTTTCATCTTGTTAGATGAAGCAACTTTTAGGAGCATTATTCAGGTTTGTATTCAGTTCTTAGGCTTCAAATTGTTATGTTGTTCAGAGACTAGTAAAGATATATGCATCTTTATTTCATAAAAAGTTGCCTGGCTCGTGAGTTGCTTGATTCTTGATAAGAATGGCATTGTGATTTGGTCCGTTTTAAGATGTATAGATGCTAAGTAGGTGCAGGATTCAAGCCAAAAAACATAAAGCACAGGACATAACAAGTTTTCCTTATAATAAACTATGGCTTCTTGCAGCATCTGGACCTAACAGTTACATCTGAAGAGAGAGTTCTTGATGCAATTTTAATGTGGTCCACTAAAGCAGAGAAGTTGTGTGGGTGGGAAGTAGTGGATGAGCTGATGATGAATTCAACCCCAGAACATCTATTCAAGGAGAGGGTTCAATTGGTTAATGACTTATTGCCTTCTGTGCGTTTCCCATTGTTGCCACATCCCTTGCTTAAGAAGGTAATGAATAGTAGGAGACCAGTCAATCCCTGAAGGAAGCATATGACAATAACAAATTCTTTACTGCCATTGAATGTTTTTGCAGTTGGAAAATACCAACCTCAGCAGACACATTTCTGCTTTTGGCAAGCTTGTAAGTTTGCCTTTGCTCTTCAAGAAATATATGTCTTCTCAGAAAAAGATTCTGATGTTGAGAGGAGTTTTTCTCCCCAAATGTAAAATGCCTTTTTCATGTTAATGTAACAGGTGGAGGAGGCAATCAGTTATGTAGACTATGGATTGGCAAGACCAAATGACCACAAGTAAGCCTTCTTCTTTTATTTATCTTGATTTCTTTAATGAAAAGTGGGATTGAAATGAATTGAATTGCAGAAAGACATAAAGACAAAAAAAAAAAGGATCTGACATTTTGTGTTATGTGTGTGTTTATTTAAGAAGCCATTGCCCTGAAGGTTATATGCATTTTTTTGAGTCAGACTAACATAATCTTGCTGTTTAAAGTGTAAGATTTCAACATAGACGGTCAAGTTTTAAGGAGCTACAGTACATATGTGATGGGGATAGCAATGGAGTTCTGTACTTCTCAGGGACATCATATGGGGAACATCAATGGGTGAACCCTGTTCTAGCCAAGGTCCCTTTTTTTTTTTCTCTTTCTTTTTTGTCTCCCTCAAATGACTTTGTATAGATCACATATTCACATTGACATTGCTCATTATGCTTAAATTACCCTTTTCAGAGGATAACCATTACAGCTAGCAGTCCCAATTCAAGATTCACTGATCCTAAAGTCTTGGCCTCAAGAACTTACCAGGTATGATGATTCAAAGTTCAAACTACTTTGAAATACACTGCTTTGTGAGCTTAAATAAACAGAAACTAAATGATATTTCTATTATTAGGGAATGTCTTTCGCTGGGCCTCGAATTGAAAATGGGCATACCTCTGCTTGGTGGATGGTTGACCTTGGCCAAGATCATCAGGTTTCAACTTTATCCTCTGTAACCTAATCTTCATATTCCTAAAAGCAAGTATTTTGATGGAATTTTTAGGAACCATAGATGATTCCTTTAAAGTTAATATGATAGTTATTCAGAAGTTCTATATGGCATCTACTGTCTCTTTGTCCAACAAGAAGCATAACATGTAGAATCCCCATGTACAAGGCCCAGTGGCAGCCCTTAGTGGGGTTCACTTCCTGGTGAGTGCAATCCCAGGATCCACATTCCCCATCCCAATAACAGATACTAAAAACAGCAGTGTAATGGTTACCCCTTTCAAAAAAAAAAGAAAAAAAAAAGAACCATAACATATATAAAAGTTTCAAGTCAAGCATGAATGTTATTGTGAAATGGACAACAAACAAGATGTTTCAAATCAAGCATGCTTCTCTTGAACTGACTCAACTTCTTGTATGCTTGCAAGAGTTTGAGGAAATGAGCATGAATTTTTAAGAATTGAAGTTATAGTGCAACCCGTGACTTTTCTGATCTGCAAAGTGCGATGGTTGCAGCTTATGTGCAACTACTATACACTGAGACAGGATGGCTCCAGGGCATACATAAGATTTTGGAAATTTCAGGTAAAGACAATCTTCAGCTACTTTACAGATATATAGGATTTCTTTTCATTGCTTGGTGCAAATTGTGATGTAACTCTTCTTAACATTTCAGGGGTCCATGGATGGAAGGGCTTGGATAGACTTGAGGGTACATGAGAATGATCAAACAATGTGCAAGCCTGGTCAGTTTGCATCGTGGCCCATAACCGGACCTAGTGCTCTGCTTCCCTTCAGAGTCTTCAGGGTTGTCCTCACAGGTCCAACATCTGATGCTTCCAACCTGTGGAACTTCTGCATTTGCTTCTTGGAACTCTATGGTTACTTCCACTGACAATAGTGCTCTTGGTGTGTGCATCTATCATGTGCGAGTGTTTGTGTTTATTTTGAGTAACCCCGTCATACAGTTTTCTGAATAAAAGTTACGTGAGTGTGTTTACTTTGGGTTACCTCTGGTACGCGGTTTTCTGAATAGAAGTTGGAACTAGGATTTTCCTACTTTCGAATGAGACTGGAAGAAACTTTCTTTCCTTCAAGCAGGACGGTGACAATGTTTTCCTGTTTTTTTGTTTTTTTTTTTTTTTTTTTTTTTTTTTTTTTTTATTTTGAATTAGGATTTTGTTCATTCCGGTTTTTGGCAATTTTTTTATCACAATTGCTTTGGGGTTTTTTTTTGCTTGACCATTGTTTTGCAATTTTTACTGGGAAACAACACATGTAGTCAATGCACTATCACAACGCCGCATATGATGGATTGGTATTAAGATCCATTAAAAATTTAAACATGCTTCATCAGGATTGTCATAAAAATATTAGCACGGCTGAACAAATAAACCAACTGAAGCAATTGTATTTCAATAGAGGCTTATATAAAGCAAGTGTCTTTGGTTCATGTAACATGAGTTTAGCTTTCCAATTCGAACCCTAGACAAACACAGGTAATCCTTTTACATCAACTATCACGGTAACAGCAGGGACCCATAAACTCAGGTATGTCGCAGGTGGGTCTACAAACATAATTGCTGCTGATGTTGGGGTTGAAGAACTGCTTTGAGTGTGGAGGTTACCTGCGAACAGATGGTACAGCACCTCTACCTGCTGTAGCTCCACGGCCAGCAGCTTGAGCCTGCAAAATAAAATGGTTGTAAGAAGCAAGCAATAAACACAAATCATTATCTTAAGCTGTAGTGAATAAACGAAAAGGAAAAACTTACTTTGGCTCGCATTGCAACAGCCCTACCTCTGCCAACTCCAAGAGAGGAGCTCTTACCCTTCAAGTAGCATGGAAAGAGATCAGAAATCAAAGAAGGATTAAGGAGATACTAGTCAATTGGAAGTGGAGGAATACCTTAATTCTGGCATCCAAACGCTTGAACATGGGAGCGTTCTTTAGCATATCTGGTATGACCATGAACCTGTGAAATTTTTACAACGTTTCCAAATCAATGAAATTAACCTCTGAATAAGCCAACTTCACAAAAACAGCAAAAACCTCAATTTCACAAAACAAAAGAAAAGAAGAAGCAATCAGTTACCTGACTTTACTGCCTCGGATGAAAACATGCTCAAGTTGTGACACCCTCCCATCCTGCTCAGGGTCAACCAGTATCAGAAATTAGCAATCAAAAGTATGTGTTAACAAAAGTAAAAACCAATTAAAAATAATATATCTCCCATTAGAGAATGCAAAAAGAGAGAAAATAACTTATAACTAACCAAATACCAACATATTCATTATGAGTTATGACTTATGACACATTGCATGTAATCTGCCTCTGCTTTTGTTCTCATTCCACTATCCAGAGAGGAGGAACAAAGAAGAAAACAAAGAAAGGAAATTGAAGAATGGGTACCATTCAAGTTATACCTATATCACTTTCAAAATTTCAATACCAAGTCGTATTGTTTTCTAGAACAAGTTATTTTATTAAACAATAAATACTGCAAGAAAGGATAAATGGTCTTCAAATCAAGTTGCTTTACAGAGATTGAAAGCACATGATTGCAACCCAAAAAACCCTTCAAATCAGTAACAGTAATGTACTAACTACTAACAAATTCGAGAGATAGACTAATCAAAAGATATCAGACCTTCAAATTCACTCAGAATGAACCCGAGATTTATTATTACCCACAACACCATTCCACTCCCAACTCCTAAGTAGTTCACCAATTAGCAATTTTTAACAATTGGGCAGTGATATAGAGACAATTTTATTTATACAATCCTTTTATACAACTTTCATATGTTATTAAATGAATGATACACTCAATATCACAGATTCCAAATAAATATAAAGAGATTATTTAAATAACATGTAAGGTTATAAAAGGTGGTAAACAAGGTTGTCTCTTAATAATTTTCCTTAATAATTTAACATAACAGTCTCAAATCTAGCATCAATGGCGGAAACTTTACGGTTCGACACCAACTCCACGACTAAAGAAATTTCAAAATTCAGCAATATAACTCCACAGATCTAAACAATAACCAACAAAAATCCATCGAAGTTAACTGGGTTCATAAATCTAGGGTTTCAGAAGCACAAAAATGAAATGGAAATGGACGAGTAGATGGAGAGAGTTGTGTACCTTAGCAGTGTAGGTAATGCTCTCGAGCTGGCAATTCCAGTTATCTTCGCACTCGACCATGCTTCCTCTGTAGAGCTCTCCACTCTTTAGCTCCACCGTCACGACGTGGCCGGAGGCCTCGTGTAACAGCTTTACCGGTATCCCCAAGCTTCTACTCATCGTCTCTCTCTCTCACTTCCTCTCTCCGGCGGTGGCTCTGATCAATTGCAAAACCCTAACTTCCTCTCTTTCTCTCTCTTTCCCGCTGTGTATTTTTTGCATAAATCGCAACAGAGAGCCCATCTCAAAATCCTATTTTTAAAAGCGTCAGGGCATTGGGCCATCCTTCAAATGGTCCGGCCTGTAATTTTTAAATTAAATTAAGGTCCGATGGGCTTGGGCAAGGTCCAAGCTAGACTGCTGCACAACAGAAGCCTGTGGACTTCTCTGTTTCGTGGGCTTCAAAATTGGTAAAAGTGTGAAGTTTTCCCTTTAACTTATTCACTTTTGCCAATAAAACTTCTACAGTCTTTTTAAAGTCAACTAAGTCCTTTCTAGAGTGATATTTGTGGTAATATGATTGTTTTTGTTTAAGCGTAGAATAAAATGAAGTGAAATGATTTTATAGTACTCAAATTTGTAATTAATCATTTTAATCACGGTACAAGAAATAAAAATAATTAAAAAATCTAAAATAAATTATTTTAATTTTAATTTTTGACTTTATATTTAAACAGTTTGTTAATGTGTATATACATATATGTGATAGAAATAACGTCCCCTTTTCATGTACCTTATCCCTCCTTTAGAAGTTCAACCCTAATATGTTTAACTTGACATGTCTTAGAATTTTAACCATTTAAGGTGTAAAAATAAAATTGGTTTAATTGACTTAGATGTTTTGTTGCCAACAATAGATGCAATGAAAGTTACAAAACATTGATTTTAAAAATGGTTTAAAATGAGTGGAGGGATTAATTTCTAAAAGAGAATGATAATTAACTATTTTTTATGAAGATTACTTATAATATTATATATATTTATTTAATTGTACATCTTAATAATAGTTTTATAATTTGAGAGTGTATTGTCATTGTTTTTTCTATTTATCTTTTAATTAAGGTCAAATTCCCTATTTACATTTTACATATTTATTTTTTTAATCAATACTTTAAATTAATTTTTGTTTAAAAAACACATCTTTTATTATTTAAAATTCATAGAAAAACTTAAAAATTTATTGTCAAATTTTATATTTGTACATTAATTTTGTAGTCAAGCTCCTTATTTATAATACAATTTTTTTGATAATTTAAAATTTTTTCTAAATTTTAAATTATAAAAGATATTCATCATGGCAAAAATTAATTTAAGATATTAATAAAAAAAATGAAAGGCGCTTTGGTCTTCAATTTAATTATTTAATGAATTTTAACGGTTGGTTGTGTGGCACGTGGATTCTATGCTTTGTTTCCTTCTTAAGGCAATCACTTCGTACATAAAATAAAAGTGGTTATCACAATAATTTGAAAGGAAAGCGGGTCCGGAAAATAAACGGCTCAGATTTTCTTGATGGAGCCTACCACCCGACTATATATTTAGCATCTGGCGCTCAAGCACCTTCAGCAACCATTTTGAAGCTTCGGGTTGAGGCTGAATTGGAGAGAATGCTGCGGTCTTTGGGTTCCATCGCCGCACCGCCTCCGTTGCGCGGTTCATCGCCTTCATCGGACAAGACCCCTACAAGGGTAATTCACGTTTGGTGTTGATCCTGTAAATACCGTTTTCATTTGCATTTTTCTTGTTTGAGTTGAATTGTGCTTGAGTTTTTTGCCGTCTTGTAACTTGTTTCGTGCTTATGAAAGATTATGGTGGTTTGGGGCTAGAGCGGTTTGGCTGTGTGCTTCTACGTTGTTCGGTGATCCGGATTTGATGGTCTTAGCTGAATTTGAATTTTGGGTTCTTTTTGTGTATTCATGAAATGTTTTAGAGCTGGTTTGTTTTTAATTTTCATCTGAAAAGAGTCTGCCTTCCTTTTCGTAGCTAAGATATACTTAGATATGTCAGTATGTTCTGTTTTCAATTAGTGATGGCGGCTAATGTGGTTTGGATTTTGTGGGGATAGAAGTAGATAGCGACTGGTAGTTGGTGGACAGAGAAATAAATATCAGCTTCTTTTCAGATCAAACGTGCAATGACCCAATAGATTAAATAAGTAAAATATTTGTGTTGGATCCTAGTTCTGATTAGGAAATTTTTTGGTGGTTGTAAATTATGTTGTACTGTTCTGATATTTCATGGTTTAAGAATGGACCTATATAACCCAGAAAGGAGAAGAATCTCATGGAAATAGAAATCAGCATCACTTATGGGGTCTTGAATGATGTGGGTCTTTCATTATGATAGCTGGACATAGTTGATTGCAAACACAAATCTTTACACTTCAAAGTGAATACAGTGAGTGATCTGAATTTGGGTCGTCTTGTTTCCAGGATTGCTGAGTACTTCGTAGCCTACAGGATTCTAGTCATTAGTTATTTCTGTTTCCCTCATTTCTTCAGATTTAAGCTCATCCTCTTCCTAATGGTTTGAAAATGGCTAAGTTGCTTTTTTCTTTTTTTGACAGGTTCTGAGAAATAACCATTGGCTATGCAATTGCTTACCAAATGCATCAACACAGCAATCCAGAAAACTGCTTGGTCATCATGTATTTCGGCTATCATCCAATAGTTACAGAAATGTATGTTTGACAACCTAACATTTATTAGTTGAACATCCTGTGGGGCTTCAAATGTTTATCTGTGCCAATTTTCTTTACCATATTATCTAATAAATGGAGACACTTTTATGGTGATGGTGCATAAGCTGCTGCTTTGATAGATGATTCCATTTACTAACATGGTTATAATAATATGGTATATTAGAACACATTCCTTCCTTGTTCTCGTACTCATGCATCTTTACCTTGATTATTATATCTGAATATATTCCAGTACCTGAGTTATATTCTTGTCTTTTCCCCCACCAGTTCAGTCATGGTTCCCCAATCTCAGCTGTTGTGACAGATGACAGTTCAACAATGATGACCTCAGATGAAGACACTGAAAATATTGGTATTCTGGGACTTGATCCAGGTTTAGAAACATTTAAAGATCACTTCAAATATCGAATGAGAAGATATGTGGAACAGAAGACGCTTTTTGAAAAATATGAGGGAGGTCTAGAGGAATTTGCAAGAGGTGATTTTAACATCACTAATGCTACCTTTAGTTTTCATTTACTTTTCTGATCAGGTATTAATGGTGGGAATGTATTGTTAAACTGCTGAAATATGTGCACTTAGCCGGTAACCACTTTCTAACAAATACTTTTTATTGCATCATGGATTTCCCTTCTATAGGAAATGTCCTTTGAATTTATTTAGTTTGGTTCACTGTCTCCTAATCAATGTAAAATTTTTTTTTACCCACTTTTGTAGGTTATTTGAAATTTGGTTTCAACAGAGAAGAAGGTGGCATTGTCTACCGTGAGTGGGCACCCGCTGCTCAGTATGTCCATTCCTTCCCTCTTTTGGGGTTCTAAATTACAAATTTTATTAACTCTGTTATCCAGAATTTATATTTCAATATTATGCTGGAATCTTGTGCATAATATAGGGAAGCAGCACTTATTGGGGACTTCAATGGATGGGATGGTTCCAGCCACAAGATGGAAAAGAATGAGTTTGGTGTTTGGAGTATTAAAATCCCTGATTCTGTGGGAAAACCAGCTATTCCTCACAATTCAAAAGTCAAGTTCAGATTCAAGCATGGCGATGGAGTTTGGGTAGACCGAATCCCTGCCTGGATAAAGTATGCCACTGTGGATCCAACAATATTTGCAGCACCATATGATGGTGTTTACTGGGATCCACCTTCTTCAGAAAGGTACAGTCATATTCATGTTTTACTTTGTTATTTTTTTTGTTGTTATTTTTTCATTCAGGTGGATATTTTCCTTTTAAAAGTCAATAAATAACTAGGTTGTCAAGCCATTGTATCATGGAGAGCTTCTGATATGTTTATTATTTCTATTTGTCCTCTCCAAAATTAATCTACCAAATCAAACTCTAATGTGCCTAACAAGTGGACTACCTGCTGCACTGCTGCTATTTTCTGGTGCATGGAGGGATGCAGTAGTTTTATCCTTTTAATTCATATCAATAAATGTAGGGGTTTCTTATGCATTATTATATTGATCATGCAGGTATGAGTTTAAGTATCCTCGTCCTCCAAAACCTAAGGCACCGCGGATATATGAAGCTCATGTTGGAATGAGTAGCACAGAACCCTGTATTAATTCATACAGAGAATTTGCTGATGATGTTTTGCCTCGTATTCAAAAAAATAACTATAACACAGTACAATTGATGGCAGTAATGGAGCATTCCTACTATGGATCATTTGGATATCATGTAACAAACTTTTTTGCTGTAAGCAGTAGATCTGGAACACCTGAGGACCTTAAATATTTAATTGATAAAGCCCACAGCTTGGGCCTACAAGTCTTGATGGATGTTGTCCACAGCCATGCTAGTAACAATGTAACTGATGGGCTCAATGGTTTTGATGTTGGCCAAAACTCACAAGAGTCTTATTTTCACACGGGAGATGGAGGTTACCACAAGTTGTGGGACAGCAGACTGTTTAACTATGGTAATTGGGAAGTGCTTCGTTTCCTTCTTTCAAATTTAAGGTGGTGGCTTGAGGAGTTCAAATTTGATGGATTTCGATTTGATGGAGTAACTTCAATGTTATATCATCACCATGGAATCAACATGGTGTTTACGGGGGACTATAATGAGTATTTCAGTGAGGCAACTGATGTTGATGCTGTTGTTTACTTAATGCTGGCCAATTCTCTGATACATAACATCTTGCTAGATGCAACTGTAATTGCTGAAGATGTGTCTGGTATGCCTGGACTTGGTAGGCCTGTCTCTGAAGGGGGGACTGGTTTTGACTACCGCCTTGCCATGGCCATTCCTGACAGGTGGATCAATTACTTGAAAAATAAGAATGATGAAGAGTGGTCAATGAAGGAAATATCATGGAGTTTGACAAATAGGAGATACACCGAGAAGTGTTTATCTTATGCTGAGAGTCATGACCAAGTATAATGTTTGACCATTGATTTACTTCTCATTAATTAATTAGTTAATTTATTAATTTATTAATTCACTTCTCCCTGGCACTAAAACTTGTCTGCTTGGAAATGTCTCGAAAATATAAGAAACATGAGGTTGCCCAGTGGGAAGAGGGGGGGTGGTGGATGTCTTAGAATTGGATTTACCATTTACCTGATGTCAATTTTTATGAGTTCTCATGCTTTTCTTGACACTTGGCATTTGTAGGCCATTGTAGGTGACAAGACTATTGCGTTTTTCCTAATGGATAGAGAAATGTACTCTGGCATGTCTTGTTTAACAGATGCTTCTCCCACCATTGAGCGAGGAATTGCACTTCACAAGGTTTGTCCTATGGCAGATCATAAGGACTCCTTTATTTGCTTTTTTCATCTCGTAATTCTTTTTTTTTAGTAATTACAGCAACTACGAATTCTTTTTCTTTTCTTTTTTTTTGTTGGAATTTTGAGTATATTTGTGAGTTTGATATTTAATAACAATGTGGACCAAAAACATTTTTTCAGTCTTATTGCTGATATTTTAGGAAGCTAAGGAACTGGTTTTCTCTTTTGGCTAATGCAGCTAACATGGAATTCTGATTATTCTATTCATTTTAAAGATTTCTGTTGATTTTTATTAATTTAGTTATTTCCTCATTATAATACATTCCCTCCCTCACAAGGCTTTTTGTGTTTAATAATTGCACAGATGATCCATTTTATTACTATGGCATTAGGAGGAGAGGGCTACCTTAATTTTATGGGAAATGAGGTAAGACTGGCCAGTGAGCTTGCCCTTTAAATGTGTGAAATCCAAGAGCCTGAAAAATGTTTCTTCCTTCATTTTCCATGTGTCATCTTGATTGCATTCAGTCAAAACTGGAAGTCTAGAAAAGAAATTTTTTACTCAGAGCAGTTCCACCGGGATGACGGTCAGCCACAGCCAGGGCCATTTAAGTTACAGTTTACATAAATATGACCTATGATGTTTAAAAATGAAAGAGCAATAGACTTTTTCCCCTGTGAGGCAAATTCTATGAAGGGATCATTCTCTCTTCTAACTATAAGTTAGGGAGATCCATCTCCTGGAAGAGCTAGTAAAGAGTCTAAAGACCTCCGCTTGAGCTCTAATTGTATTTCTTCTGCATGCTTGTACAGTTTGGACACCCTGACTGGATTGACTTCCCAAGAGAAGGCAATGGGTGGAGTTATGAAAAATGCAGACGTCAATGGAACCTAGTAGATACTGAACACTTGAGATACAAGGTATGTAGAAGGTCATTCTTTCTTCTTTTTTTATTTTTGGTTAAATCTGTCCTGCTTCATTCATCTCCCACACATCTACCTATTTTCCTCTGCAAAACCTGAACAATATCCGCTTATATGTTATATTTTGCTGGACTTTATCCTCTTTTTTCTATTATCTACATCTGCATGCTTGATCAATATTTTATTTTGTACTGTCTTCCTTTTGAGGAGGGAATGTCTTTGGATCTGTTTCTGAATGATTTATTTTCCTCTTTGTGCTTGTGCAGTTCATGAATGCATTTGACGGAGCTATGAATGCACTTGATGATAGATTTTCATTTCTTTCATCGACGAAACAGATTGTGAGCAGCACAAATGAAGAAGACAAGGTATCATTGTGGTCAGCCTTCTCATTGATAAGGCAAAATAAATTTATGTACTGTTAGTCATGGAAGTTCATGTTTTTAGTAACGGAACACCTATCTTTGGAAATGTCAAACCTGTTCATCTACACTCCCTAATGTGATCATCCATGAACCAGAAGATCTCTTAACATGTGTTGTTTTTCTATCAAATTAAAGTGTTGAACATTTTTTGCAAAATTTTTAAGATACGTTTGCATGTAGCTGGTTTCCCTCTCTTAGATGTAATGAGGATAATGCAGTCACTTATGGCTTTTTCTCTCCCCCTTCCTTCCTTCTCTTCTTGCAGGTTAACCTTTTATTCTTGCTAGTTGCAGTTTTGACCCTTTTCTGTTACTATCACTAAGTCTAAAACATTGATTAATTATGTTTGCTTTAGGTTATAGTCTTTGAGCGTGGAGATCTGGTGTTTGTGTTCAATTTTCATTCCACGAATACATATGATGGGTGAGTTTGCATTGAAATGAGCCTCAAATCTGATGAAGTTCTTTATCTAGCTTTTAATACATTTGTTTTTGAGTGACTATTGTGTGAAAATACAGGTATAAGGTTGGATGTGACTTACCGGGGAAGTATCAAATTGCACTTGATAGTGATGCTTGGGAATTTGGTGGACATGGAAGGGTAAGGAAACCCTGGTATTCTTAGTATGCATAGTTCTTTCTATTGCTATGGAAATTATGAACATTCAGTTTTCTTGAACATTGATGCACAAACTGAAATTTTATAATAATTACTTAATTAGTTCCATTGTGGTTTCTGAAGTCTTATCATGGAAAGAAATATTCATCTCTGTTGGTCCATCCCTATCACATATACCTAAGCACAAAAAATTATCAAGTAGAAATAGATTCTAAAACCATTTCTGTTCACAGAAGAGAAAAGACAGGATTTCATATTTGACATCATTGTCATAATATCTTGATTATATTCTGGTAGGTTGGACACGATGTAGACCATTTCACATCTCCGGAAGGGATACCAGGTGTACCTGAAACAAATTTCAACAACCGTCCTAATTCCTTTAAAGTACTCTTACCAGCTCGCACTTGTGCGGTATGCGTTAGCTATTCCATTTCTTTTGATTCCATTATTTATTATCGTTCACCCCACAACTGATGCAACTCAATTTTTCTGAAATGATGTGATTCACATTCCCATTGTAGTAATCTCGTTCCTGTTCTCATGAAATGATGTTTTCGCATTCGGGGTTTTAAGTTAACCACTTTACCTACTAGAGCATTTGCTGTCAAAACTTTCATATTAGAGCTATTTTGGCCTGTAGATTTCAGTTCATGGTATGAATTTACAAATCCCTTAAATATTATCCTCAGGTTTATTATAGGGTTGAAGAAAGTCCTGAAGAAAATTCTAACGAGGAGTTGGTGACCACCACCAATGTTGTAGCTGAGCAGGAAGATACAGTAAAATCAGCTGCTCTGGAAGTTGATGTTGTTGGAATAAGTAAGCAGGCTCAAACAGAAAGGAAAAACATGGACGAAGAGACATCAGATGAGTAACACTTGGGCTTTGGTTATCCATGTTTTCTCCATATAATAATAGTTTGTAGATAAGAGAATGTTGTTTTGTGCAGTCTAAAGACTCTAAACTGCATAGTAGTTTCCTGTGTAAATAATTACGGTGTGAGGATGTGTACTCTGTTTCACTGTCATGTATGGGCTATGGGCTCTTGCATGCAGACCCAAGTCCAATAATAGTTGACAATAAATTTTGTAATAAATCCAGTCAGTGTGTTAAACCGAAGCCATTTGTATCGGCCCAGTTTGCTTATGAAAGGCCTTTCTAAGCCAATTAGGATTGAGCGAGGGATTGGAGCAACAGATAAGCGGAAACGAAAATTTTTTAATTTATTAAATTATGAAAAGAAATTTAGATATTAATATTTAATAATAATTATATGATAAATTTGATAAATTTAAAATTTATATTATATTTTATATATTTAATAGTTGTAATTAAGTATTTATTTTTTAAAAAAATTATAATATTAAAAAATATCAAAATATTTAATAATAATTATATAATAAATTTGATAAATTTAAAATTTATAAAAAAAATTATTTAATACACTTTTAACATGTTCCTTTAGAGATAAGTTACACAAACCCAAAAATAAAAATAGTTTGAGGTCTAAAGGAAATGAAGAGAGATAAAGAAAATTAAGAACAATAAAATTGAGTTGTTTTTTCAAAACCATATTTTAAAATCATATCTCAAAATTTCTTTTTGAATATTATAAGTTATTGCTTAAACCTATCGGCTATCCCATTTCTTAAAGCCATGTTCTCTGAAATAAGAATGAGAAAAGTTGAACTAGAAAAAAAAAAAAAAAGAAACAAAGAAGTGAAAAGTCAAATTATCAATTCTATCTTTTGTGAAGAAGGGTTTAATAAGTGAATAACTATTTTGCACCTTGCTAGTTCAAAATGCAGAAGGGAAGTTAAAGGGTAAAATGGAAATTTTAGATGGGAAGAGATTGTTCGGATTTAGGAACGTGGCTTTAATGCCCCTAACATAGCTAACACACTATTAGAGCTCTTCTATAAGATCAAGATAAGAAACACAGTGTAAAATATGAAGACCACAATGCTCTTAAAATAGCTAACACATTATTAGAGCTCTTCTATGAGATCACAATGGTAAACACAATGTGAAGAATGAAGTGAGAGAAAGGAACCAAAATGAATGATGAGACAGATAGAAAGAAGAGACGACTTAAAATTTTTATTTTTAAATTTAACACACTCATCCCTATTTTATCAAAACATTGTTTGGTTGTTGTTTGGCTCTGCTTAAAAAGGGTATTTTTAATCTTAATTTGGTTGGAAAAACGTGTTTTTGTTATCAATTCATTAAATTTTATCTCTGCATTTTGCTTTCTTCTAATGCTTCAAATTAAATTTGTCAAGGAAAAATGCAGCTTCTTGGGTCAAAGAGCAGAAGCCAAGAGCTTAGACAATTTCACCTCATTGCGTAGATGTATATTAACCTTTTACAAAGAGCAGATTAACATAGTATAAATTTGATTTTTCAAAAGAAAAAAATAGTATAAATTTAGAGGGTTTAACTGTAGTCTTATAGATGTTTAGCGTGTTTGGTGGAGTGTAGAAAAGCAAATTTTTATCTTAGAAGTTTAAATATTGTTGGAGTGAAATTCACAAATTGGTATTTAAAATGATTTTTAAGTAACTTTTTTTTTTAAAGAAAAGCATAATTTTTTT